ACAGTTAAAGTGACGATTGATCACTAGCATTTAAAGTGTTCAAATATTTGGGATAGTAGAATTAATCCTAAAATAAGAGGATCGATAATTATAGTCCTCTCGTAATTCGTACATCTCGCTATATTAACCCTTTAGCGGGCAGTGGCTAATACGTCTAGCCACATATAAAAAAAACTTTCTCCAAGCGGGTGACGGATATTTAATTCATCCACATGAGTTAATTGGAGCTAAAACGTATAAAAACCAATGCAGATGGCAGGACGATACCTTTTTCTTTTGCGTTTCATGTCCCCTGATGGGTAGTTAAAAACAGTGTTTCTCGGTGTAAATCTACAAATTGTATTTTGATTACTATAAATAAAATTTCTGATCTTTGAAAAAAATTTCGACATGTCTTAAGTATACCTTTCTCTCATCTGAATGAATTAAGCAAATTTGCATATACAAAAAAGGGTTTCTTAAGGTTTTTGGAAACCTTTTATATGTGGCTAAAGGCTCTATCCACTGCCCAGATAGAACAGAAAAATGACCCAGAAATTTTCGCTTTTCTCCACATCTAGAATCATGAGAGAATGTTGGTGGTCGGAAATATAAACAAATTTTGTTTATAATATGTGGTACAAGATTCTCGGGTTCGAAAATCTTTTATTACAGCTTTTCTTCTCGGAAAAAACGTTTGCATATTATAAAGTTCCACAGTAAATAGTTCATCAAATTTGTGAAATAACTCATTTAAATTTTCAGAAACATCACTCTTTATTTCTAACCTTTTACACTAAAACTAAATAAAATATAAAATGTGGATATATGCCAATTTCAATGTATATTCTTAGTATTCTATATATATTTGTGTGTCGGTGTGATATCCATATGAACTAGTACCAACATCACGCGAAGACGATCGTTTTGGCGTGATCGGTTAAGTACTTGCATTTCGTTCGGAACGGAAGGTGCACAGAACGAACCTTCCCTCCTTCATTGGTGACCGGGACGTGATATGAACCGCACCCTTCGCGCGCCACTGTCGTGGCGCCATCTATCCACCGCACAAGCAACCATGCCATCAACCATTGACGCAAATAAGCCGTTATTACTCAAAGTCGTCTTACGCAAATAACGCAATTAAACCGTCACTCAAATGACGCAATTCTCAAGCCGTCACGCACGATGACGCACCCCACAAGGTGACGCAACTGCATACATGCTCGCCACGAATATGGTATCGTTCGTTCGTCTATTCACCGAAACACTGACAGGGGGTATGTGGCGGTGTGATATCTATATAAACTAGAACCAACATCTTGCGAAGGCGATTGTTTTGGCGTGATCGGTTAAGTACTCGCATTTCATTCGGAACGGAAGGTAGACAGAACGAACCTTCTCTCCTTCATATTCTTAGTAACTTTTCTGTGTTGTGCAACTATTCTATTATTATATTTAATTACACTTATACTTTGTATTTAATTGTTATTGAAATAGTTATTACATAAATGTCAATTTTTCGTAAAAAAGTTTATTGTAATATGATTCATTATTTCTGTCCTGAAAAGTAAGTTAAATGTCCTAAGTGCGCAGTGGCTATAAGGTCTAGCCACCACCCAAGAAAAAAACCCTTGATCAGATTTTTTTTGCGACTAAATAATGTTTATAAGGGATGAGAACATTACATTTATCAAGTACTTGATGACAGAAAAGTGTATACTTTAGCTTTTTGCCCGTTAAAGGGTTAATCCACATATATTGCTTATATTAAGACATCCATTCTCTTGTTGAAATTACTTGAATTGGTAAATTGTTTGATCAATAAATAGATTCATTTTGAATATATGTCTGGTATTCCTTCCCTTCCTCTCACATCTCTTGGCGGGAAAGAGAAAGAGCCAAATCTCTCACAAGTTCTTTCTTACGATGATTTCGAAATCGGAAAACACAGATAGGAAACGGAATTTACACTGAAATCAGCAATGCATTCTTTAGGTCCGAGCTCCAGACGATCGTAAAATCTTTATAGTCCAAGCGATTGCAACCTAGAGTAGATCCCATCATTCCCCACGCAACGTTCCTTGGCGGAATCTGGCCTGAAACCGGACTTGACAAGAACCCCACCGTCAACAGTGCTCTAATCCCATTGGCCATATTATGTGTCCCTGAAGAAATACTATATCTCTTTTTAAACCGCTTCAATAGCTCAACAGAAAGTGCGAAAAAAAGCACGAGAACTCGCAAAACAAGAAAATAAAGAAAAAGAATCACCTAGGGTACATTTAAAGTGTTGAACGTTCTTCTAGAAGAGAAAAAAATTGCTTTGGAGTGAAGTTCGCTTTGTCTATTCCCGGAATAGTTGTTGAAATAGCTGTTTCGACCAGTTTGTGAAATGGTTGAAGATTTTTCTTTTTCTTTTTATGATGCAACACCCCCAACACAATTTAGTAGAATCAACTGCAAACGAAAAAATAACAGATTAAATGAAAAAGTACGCGAAAAGAGGAAACTGGAACTTTTGCAACTAAACAAATATAGAGAAAGAATAGGGGAAGAAAAAAGCTTTTTATATTATTTATTTTCTGATGAAAGGAATTGCTTGAATCCAGTAGTTTAGACAATTGGACAAGCAGTCATCCTGATTTGAAAAGAAGAAAAAATACATAAATAGGGATTTTTTTTACCAAAAGTAGTTTATATAATACAGAGATACATATGTGCTGTACTAAAAAGATATTTTTTTAAAACTAGATTTAGTGGCATTATTTTTTCTTTGCCTATTTGCTTTGATTTTTACCTGCCCGTGTTAGCCTAGTAGTTAAGGTCAAGTTCTTTTGGCCAGCATGTTTTGGGCTAGAGTCCATTGACAACAACCTTGATGGTGTTTTTATAGTGTAACCGGTAGCACTCACAAGAATTTTTCAACTGGGGTCGAGGGGCGAAAGTTCACCGTTCTCGTATCATACACCAATTCACCGCCAATGAGTGAGTGAAGATTAACGTCACATTGTTTAGCTACACGAGGGCTTTTGGTGACGGACCTAGTAATTTTGAACCATGGTCAAGTGACGTGGACGACACCTGAGCTGGCACCCCATTGTCCTAACTACCACACCACACCAATGAAAGGACGTTTGAGCTCTCGACAGATTTAACGTGTATCGCTGCCCTACGCGGCGGGTCTTTAGTGGTCCTGGGCTCGAACTCATAACATGCCTGCCATGATCTGATACCTTGACCACTGGGCTACTGCAACCCCAATTCGCCCCCAAATATATACTTTAGATTTCATCGATTATCGAGAACAAAAAACGATACAAATGAATCGTTTTATCCATAATTAGCATTAAATTAATAAAATAATTTATAATTAAAAAATTGTTTTGCGTACTATATGCATAGGATTATAATCAAGCGAAGAAAATCAAGTTTGATGGGGGTTAGGGTACGGACTCCCTGAACCCCTCACTTGTGCGCGCTGCTGAGTGTGACGGTGGTCCGTCGCCAAAAGCCCTCGTGTAGCTGAACAGTGCGACGTTAATATTCAATCAATCAATCCTCCGAGTGTGACCAGTGGCAGAACGGGAAATATTGGAAACCCCTGCAAAGTCAGCTTTTGGGCCCTAAGTCAGTTCTTACAGAGGATTCCAAAGCTATAACCACCTTTGGGCCTCCTGGAATCCTGCCCTATCTTCAATACGGGGGGTTACGCTATGCCACTAAGTGTGAAGTTAATATATTACGCTCTCTATCTTTTGATGTTTACCCACTTCAAAGCACAATTTATCCATTATTCAATGCGAGAAATAATAATAATGATATAGTTGATTAAAATAAAAATGGGCACATAATGATTTAACCCTTTATCTACCACATTATTATTCACTGCAGTTTTTTTGCATGTAATATTTTTTTTTGAATCACTACATTGAAAATTAAGGGATATACATAAACAAAATACTCAACTTTAAGAAATTTAATACGTCAGAGCTAATTAATTAAAGATATCCAACTGTAAAATTATTTATACACACTGTTCACTTAAAATAAATTTTCAAATCGTTTTCTAAGGCCTTCATCAACATAGAAAAAAAATCAGACACTTTTTGACGTTATCTATTTTTTGGGGAACAAACATGGCAATCTTCGCGAGTCGCTAAAAGCGCAATTTCTGCTATAACACTATTCGCTTTTCCCGCTAAAATATTCATCATAGAATATGTGCTGTCATATATCTTGGAAGAGTGGATTTAAAAGAATATTCCTGCTAAGTATCGTCAGAGTATTCGTAAAAATGATTATTCTATGTAATTTTAAAGTGAGTGGTACTTATAAGTACCCGTTGGTAGATAAAGGATTAAAGAGGCTTTAAAACTTATCTTAAAATTATGTATGCATGTGTTAAACTTGAAAAGTTGTAAAACATATTTAAATAAAAAAACCTTTCTATTTTTATAGTTATAAGAAAATTGTTTTTTTTTTTATTTGGTATTTACAATACTTTGGAAAACATACCCTGCTCGAGTAAATCAAGAAAAAAAGTTATCAATGCACATAAGCTGGACTTAAATGTGTTCATCAATATATTTTATTTCTCATTTTTATTTTCTATCGAACTAGAAATAAGTTTTTGTTGGCAAATAGTACTTCTAATTTGTTTAAATGATTTAGATTTACTTCAAATTTTAAAGTTACTATTTTTCTACCGTAATTGAATTGTAGGGTCAAAAGTTAAGTTTTTTTTTTCATAATTTTTTGTTTTTGTTTTTTTCAACTCCTACAATTAGTTCACTCTCTCCCTATATATATCTTCTTCAAAATTTCAATCGTTAATAAAATACTTTCTCTTCATCCATTGAAGTTCAGATACATTTTTTAAACTTGTAGTGAATGAACGCTTGATGTTAATACAGTTTATTCAAATATTAATTCAATAATTAAACTAAAAAAATGAATAAATAGTAACAGACAGTAACAATAGTCAAACGGCATATTTAAAAGGGAAAATCGTTTCTTGTGTTCCTGTAGCACAATGGATAGCGCGCTGGACTTCTAATCCAAAGTTCGTGAGTTAGAATTTCACCTGGAATAGCCTAATTTCTGAGAATGTGGTTTTTCTTTTCTATACTATTTTATCAGAATAATGAAATTTAATTAAGGAATAAATAGTAACAAACACAAACAAAAAATAGCCCAACACCTTATATAGAAAGCAAAATGGAAAATTGCTTTCTTTTTTGTCACTTATTATTGTGATTCTGTCATCTGTACATATATATATATATATATATATATATATATATATATATATATATATATAAATTGTTACTATTTAATAAAAATAACTAAAATAAAATTTTCCTTTGTTGGCCGAAATAGGAACTGACTTAATTTTTTTTATATTACTTTTTTCTTTTATAAACCGGATCACACGATCATTTGTTAACAGCCTTCGCTATTTTTCTTTTCTTATTCCTTGTCTTATAGTTTTAAAAGTGTAAATGAAAAAAAAATGAATTTCAATTTAAAATAAAATTGTTCATGCCGTGTACCATCTCATAAATGCCCTTAGTGTCTATCTTAAGAATGTAATGAGCTGTGTAGTATACAAATAATTCTTTTTTTTTCAGTGAATGAAATTATTCAAGTGTTTGGAATAAATTAATAAGTTTGTCATGATAACATTTAGCTAACTTTTTACCGGAAGTATTTGTTCGCTCGTTATAAAAAATTAGTTACTTTTCTCGTCAATAGAGGGCGCTAACAGCGTTGATTCGTATGATGTGTAAATACAAAGTTTTAAAAAAAGAATGTGAATTGTAAATGAGAAAATTCTTGAGATCATCCCGATGATGTAAATAAAAGAATAAAGAAATTGAAAAACTTTAAATAATGAATATTGAAAATGAGAAAGTTACATAGTTTAAACTCCGAGGAGTTGGCCTGTTCTGACTACAAAATAAAAGACAAATCAATTAGATTTCTTTCTCTGTAAAGGAGAATGTGGTACAAAAACAAATATTGCTCTCATGAATTGACCCTATTGGTTTAGAAAACCTTACCAATATTTATTCTCTTAATGCTTTGGTTTTCCACAAAAGAATGAATAAATAAAAAGAAAAAAGAAAAGCAAAAAATAAAGCAATGGGTAAAAAATAACAACTTTCTACACACTATATAATTATAGTTAGTCTACAAGTAAGGAAATAACTTGTATATGTGAATTTCTTTCTTTTTTTTAAAAAGAAAAAAGAAATGTAGACAAGATTTTTCTGTGAAATAAGCAATTATTAGAGAAATTACCACCTTTTTTATAAAGTACAATTGATTCATTCGATGGTTTATAATTTCCTATATTGTCTTTCACAGTTTAGGGTCTACGGTAGCCTAGCGGTCAAGGTCACGGACTCGGGGCTGGCGTTTCATGAGTTCGAGCCCAGTACCGATGAAGACCCGCCGTGCAGAGAGTCCGCAGCACGTTAAATATGTCGAGGCTCAGACGTCCTCTAATTGGTGTGGACGTTACGAGAGGGTGGGGTCGTCCTCGCCAATTGACCCTGATTCAAAATCACTAGGTCTGTCGCCAATAGCCAGATGTTTACCAAATAAATAGATTTTAATTAATTATTAGCGTAGCATATTTTGAAGCTGCTCGAGGGCCTTAAAATTTCCACATTAATTTCGAAATAGATCTCTTCCCTTCACCGTGTTTGAAATTCCGATGTTCACGGACGGTTATCAGCGCTTATATTGATTGCATCGACAATATGACTTAACAATCAATCAAAAAGAATTCATTAAATGTAACCTCAAAAAAAGAAGAAAATAATTTCAAAATTTAGTAGTTGTAGACGAGTTGTCGATATTTTAGTCCAGTCACACGTTCAAGCCCTGATTCAATAAAGTTCTGCTGGGTAGAAAAGCTAAAACACTTTGAAGCAGTAGGAGCTGTGTGTGTGTGTGAAAATTCCTAACGTTGATGTGGTATGGATATAAAGTTTTACATCAAGTAATTTACCATAGTTTGAAATTATGATGTGGATTATGTATCTTAGTAACAGGATAAGAAATACACTACTGGAATAGCTCGATTTTCGAATTTGGCATCCTCGGTAATTTGACAGAAAATTAATATTTAAAAAGAAACGCAAAACTTTTATTAAATCTATTATACCTATCAATTAAAGTTAAATAAGTTGATTGATCTTTTTATGTTAATTTTTTTTTCTGTTATGGTATTTTCTTTTTAATGCGAAATTAAATTTATCAAGTTTTTTATTCACACTTGAGGTAGCACGTTGCTATTACAACATATTTAAAATGAAAAAGCAAATTATGTCATATTTTTTTTCGCAATGAAAAAATTATTTTAGAAACAAAACAAAAAAATGTTATGTTCTGAGAATTGGGAAAACTGAGACTGTAGAGTCGGACAAAAATATATCAGATGTTTACAGTAAACATTAAACTTTTATGATAGCGAAACATTCTTAGAAAAATACAAAACGGATTTTTGAAGCATCCAAAGTGTCGGAAGATAGTAAAAAGATGTCGTTAGATGTTATACATAATAACGAGAATCAATGAAATAAAAGACATAATACAAATAATATAAAAGAATTAAGGTATCCGACTACCCTAAAACCATGATTTTTTTCAAAAATTGGCAAATTTTTTATGACTTTATTTTATAGACCATTTTATTAACTTACTAACAATACCAAGTACTTTATTTTCCCTCCACTAGAACAAAAACTACAAGCGTTTTAGTAAAAGCAAATGCCATAACTTTACACAAGATGTCAAACTTTAAAATGCGTTTTACTCGAAATGTGTTTTTTTTTTCGAAAAACTCAAACGGGGACCGCAATTGCTCAAAACGTTTTGAAAACAATTAGCTGAAACTTTTTGCTTATGTTCTGCATAACAGTAGAAGTGTTTTGATCTTCAGATTTATCAATAACTGTTTTATTTCAAAATTTGCAGTTCTTTACGTGAAAATAGTCAATTTTTTTTAAGCAATTTTGTATAATGACTTAGATAAAGTGCTCTAGTTTTTGTAAAAATTAAAATCTCTCTTTTTTTTTTTATCGTGAAGGTCACTTCAAACTAAAATAACAAAGTAACACATCAAAATTGAAAAATTGAGAATTTGTTCATAAAATCTTTGTAGAGAGCGGGCCCCGATTATGTAATTTTTCGTACATTTTTACTAGTTTTTTCCCATTTTAATAATAATAATTTTTTTTTCTTTTACCAATTTTAGGATTTTTTCCTTAAAATATACTAAATAAATTTAAAAATCACAAAAAGATCTCCATATTTCCTTTTTTTCAAAAAAAAGTTGTCGCAAGTAGTCGGATACCTTAACACTAATAATAATAAAGAAAAAAATAGATTTATTTTCCATTATAAGTTCCAAAAGAGTAAAATCTCAAAATATTACTCAATATTATATACCTAGGCCGAAATTTTAAATGAAAAGAAAATTTTTTTAAAAAATCATTTTGAAATCAGAGATTACGAGTGAAATACTTTTGCCTATGCCGACTACTGTGTTTGTACGTCTGTAGTTACGAACTTTTAGCGTGGCCACGGTAACCTAGTGGTCAAGGTAACGGACTCGTACCGGCGTGTCATGTGTTCGAGCCCTAGTACTGCTGAAAACCCGCCGTGTACGGGAGCGATGCACCTTAAATCTGCCGAGAGCTCAAACGTTCTCCCGTTGGTGTGGAAGTTAGGAGAGAAAGATGCCAACTCAGGTGTCGTCCCTGTCACTTGACCACGGCTCAAAATTACGAGGTCCGTCGACGAAAGGCATCGAGTAGCTGAAAAAAGTGCGACATTATTATTCACTCACACACTCACGTGAACTTTTTAGCAACCGAAGATTCTAGATGCGAAATTTAAAATTTTTTTAACAAGTGTATTTGCCCCGTAGAGTGTTTTAAAACTATTTTTTTACGGAAAAAACTTATAACTATAATTCTTTTTTCCCCTTTCCTCGTTATTTCAAGTACAGTTCAGTTGCCATAAAAAGGGCCTTCAATTCAAATTAATTTAACTCTTTTTAAGGTAATTTTTATTATTTAAATTAACTGCTTATATTAAAATATAAATTTAATATTAATTGTTTTTATAATTTGCTGATTTAAGTTAGTTGACATAATCAGTGCGAAACCAGGTATAGTTATTTACTTGATTGATTTATGTGGGATGTATAGGAACAAAGACTATAACCATTAATGCAGTGCATCTCAAACTTTCAATATTTGATATCCAATATTCAATCATAATTTCCATCGCGCCCTCATCCATACAATAACTAATAAATGAAAAATACAGTAATTTGACGCAATGGCTACAATACGACTTGAACATCATTAAGTACTCCCGGCGTATACGAGCGTGTCACTCAGCCAAAGTGTTAGTTGTCCTGGACGTATATATACCTCCTTCCGAAGTACGATCGCTTCTGTGGACTGCAATCCTTAAAATTATTCCAAAGGTTTTGGAATACAAAAAAAGAATTTGACAGTGTTAGTGAAGGATTTACTTATTTCAAAGGATTTGCTTATTTATTCCTCCCCCCCCCACACCAAATACATCACTTACGCGTGACTGCGGGAAACACAGGGGCATTGAAGAGCGAATCGCGTAACTTTTAATCGGCAATTAAGGGCTTAGTTGTAAACCGTACAATTTATCAAGATAAGTGTTAATTTTTGTATATAATTTTATATATGATAAACCCCCATCTGGGGTAATTATTAAACTTGTTCTTAATTTAGTATTGTTAAGGAGAGTTGGAAACCTATCTCTCTCTCTCTATACTGACAATGTTAAATTGGCTGTTTTCGATGTACCTTTTCTCAAAATCTGTTTTATGTACATGCTTGAAATTTTTCATACTATTTAAGTACATTTCTCTCATTGTACTAAAATGAGCTTTAAGCTAATTTTGAATTTTTTAATAAATTATGAAATATTTTATCAAACATTGCGAAATGTGACCCATTTTTTACTTAAAAATTTGTAAAAATTAAATTTTTGAGTTTCATACAAAAAGCTCATTTTAGTATGTATTAGAC